GTTCGAGCGGTTTTTGGCTTACGCAACGTAAATGAGAGTTGAAGATCTCATTAATAGGAAATCAACGGTAAAAAATACAGACAAAAACAGAGTCCGTATGTAGAAGTTATTAATTTTACGCAGACGTTTAACAGTATAATCTCCTTGTACTGTTAAATTTAAGATCGGTCGAGAATTAGCTGACGGTGTCAAAATGAAAGTTGTAGATCTTATTATTACCTACGTGTGGATATAAAGAACGTCAAAAACGGAGGTCGTATGTGAAAGTTACGGATTTTAGAAGTCGGAAGTGTGCTGTGCGAAAATGGGTGATGTGGCACAATCTTGGCCATTGCTTTCTCCCCAAGGCTTGCCACTAGATGGTGACATGTGGCACCAAGTTCAGCCACATTTCACCCTATAAATACCACCTCTCCCACCCTCATTTTCTTCACACCTTTCCCATTCTTTCTTCTCTTTACTCTCTCTCTCTCTCTAGAACCTCTCTCTAGCCCCGAAATCCCCCGAAAAGCCTAGGGAACCTCCCTAGCACGAGGCGGAAGCCCCGGAGTGCTCGAAGGCTCCGAGAAGAAGAGCTTTTCGGCTCGGAACGCTGCTCCAAGCAAAGCCCGGTTTTCTATAAAACCCGCTGTAAGTGAGCTACGCCTACGCTATTTTTAATATAACTTTTATTTAATTATAGTAACGTTATTAGGAACTTATAATAAATACTTGGGCTATTATTATGGGTTATATAAGTATTTTTTTGAACGCTTATATAATAATAATAATAATAGCTAGACTATTAATTAGTCTCGACGAATAATAAACTAAACTCTAGTGGTAATAATACTAGGTTCGTCGAAGAAAATTCTTTTTAAGAAGCGAAGCGCTGTCTGAGTTCGGAATCACCACCTTTTCCGGTGAGTGCATAGTTACTTCAACTTACACATAGATATGAAGTATTTTATATAAATTACGTGCTATGTGTGCATATTATCTGAATACTTGCTATCTATGTAGATGAACGTGTTATACATGTTTTCAATGATTTAAACTGTATATGTATTTTATATCTACGAAAATGTTGGGGTAAAACATGGGTAGATGTAATAGGTGATGTGTGATAAAATGATGAGAGGCCTCGATGTTGTTGTTGTTGATCCAGTCATCTAGCGAGTATAGATGACGACCACGGACTCTTCTAGACAGTCCAGTGGAACACTAGCAGGCTCGCAACCTGTAGGTGTTGTGAACGATGTGTTCACCGGTGTACTCCATCCCCCACATGGTTGCCTATTAGGACATTTATTGCTGAGGAATCCCCTTAGCAGTAGTGTGTCCCGATGATGATCCTTAGGCTAGGTCCCTTATGATAGGTGTTTAGGGACGTAAAGTGAGGATAACGGGAACGGGTGATCGGGTTATTGTTGATTGATGAAATTAATAAACTTATTTATTGTGGGTTGAAAACCCTATGTGCTCACCAGGCTCCCAAGCCTGACCCACTCAGTTTTATGCATTACAGGTAGTGGCGCATGAGCATAGGTGTGATGTTTTGGACGAGGGATTACGGATATAGGCCTGTAGATATGAAATAATGTAGTAAGGCTTATATTGTACTGTTTATACTTTTGATCTGTACGAACATGACATCCCGAGTCTTTTAATGAAATACATTTCTATGGAAATGCTTTTGATAAATCTTTATCATATTATTGTTTTGGGACAAATTCCGCAACCCTTTTATTAAAAGATAACTCTGATTTTGAAATAAAGTATAAACAAAACCGGTCTTTTCTGGCCGTGATTTTGGGGATGTCACACTAAAACAATCGATTCTCTCCTTTATCTTCTTAATAAAACTTGAAGATTCATTGTGATATACCACATACTGATAAAAATTTACAATTTTGTGCTGATGGTCAGCCTATGTACCGTAGACTATCACACACACACATACCAATCCATTCTTTCCATGCTATTCTTCTTTAGAATTTTATGATTCAGCGTATGATACGAGGCGCTGATGATAATTAGACAAATCTGTTTCGATGTATATATCATTGTCTGTGATATATTACACACATATCCATTCTTGCCATTTTTCTTCTAATAAAAGACATTTATGATTCAGCGTATGATGCCACACGCTGATGACATCTCGAAATACTATGTCGATGAATGATAGTTTAAACCCACACTTTCAAGAGACATAAAAAACTTAATGTTTCAAGGTACTTGCTGATTGCTTATGTTGATGTTCAATATCGTTGATGAATGTCACTTGTCTTAACGGTAGCTTTTTGGATGACGATTGAAAGATCCTTTATTATCTTGGGATACAAGATTTTTACGACGAACTTATCTTCAGTCATGCTTACGTAAAAAGTAAGAAATCTTTTTGGGTATAAATTGGTAATTCACCACTCTAGGTCAATTTTACAAAAAATTCAAAGCAATTGGCAATCACTTTCAAAAAGACTCCCAATCGTCAACTTTCTCAAAGCTTTCACAGTGTCAAAGTCTTTGTATGAGTTTTATCCCAACACTAACATGATCAAAGGTCCTTATGCTCCTAACTCTACCATCAATATTCAATCAACCAATGTGGCGTTCTCGGATGAAATTCCAACAAGTTTGCAAACTCAGGAATCAAAGACTTTGTCAGCTAGTTCAAGAGCGGCCCTTTTCGATATGCATTATGTGATTTCCCAGACCCTTTCTACCCTAAACAAGTATGTGAGTTTTACTATACATGCTCTGTTGATACTATTGCTCGAACCATCACTAGAACCATTGGAGATGGTCAGTATAGGGTTACCATTGATGTAAAATCCTTTCAATCTACTCTTTGTCTTCCTCGATTCGAAAGTTACTCTGAAACTCCCTTTGAGGAAGGTTGCACATTTTTTCATGAAAAATTAGGGTATAACTTCAATCTTCCAAGTCTCTCTCGTGATCCATTCAAGATCACTCTTCATCAATGTTTTACTATATGTAGGAAGTACTTAACAGGTGTGATTAGCAAATGTATTCATCACAAGACTAGAAGTTTAGATCAATTGAATCTCTTTGAGCAAAGGATTTTATATTCTATTGTTTACAACAAGAAACTAGAATTCGCTCAACTTTTTCTTGATCAAATGGTTAACTGCATTACTGGGAACAAGAAGCCATTGAATGTTCCTTATCCTCATTGGCTTGGTCTGATCTTGTCTCGAAAATAAGGCTACGTTGAAATTCATGGAATTATTATTCTAATTCCTTCCTTCTCCTAAAAAAATACCATTGGTGCTCCATCTCAGGATGATTTGCCTATTACTGCAAGGATGCAAAAGTGGATTGAAAAACCTAACGTGGTTGAATCTACAAACTTTGAAGAGGATAATGATAATGATGATGTTAGTAATAGAGAAAGATAGTGATGATGAGGATGATGATAATGATGATGCTAGTGATGAAGAAGATAATGGTGATGAGAATGATGATGATTCAGAAGCTAGTAATAAGGAAGGGGTTGATGAGGAAGAAGACATTGATAAAGATGAAGAAGAATCAGTAGCTGATATGGGAGAAGACTTCACTCAGAAAATGAACTCTCCTCCTAGGTTGAAAAAGCAAATTCATTTCAAATTCCTCTTCATCCTCTTCCACTGATGATGATGTTGTATAATGCGAATCAACCTCTCTTATTGGAGATACTAATGAGCCAATGATCCAAGATGAATTTTCTCTAAAACTGTCTCCTTCTCCTCAAGCTGAGACAGTTCCCCCTATGCCAACACCTATTACTAATATTTTTCTTCATCATGGTGATTGGGGAGAATCCAGCTCCAACTTTGAAACTGATGTGCTTTCTCAGCTCTCCTTAATTGTGCAGTTAACTCAGTTAATGGATAAAATATTAAATAAAGTTGAAAGGGGTGTGGCTATAATGAAGAGACTTATGGCTTTGGAGGATGATGATGATATAGTTGTTGATGACACTCCTCCAAATTCTCCAAGTGATAACCCTCCTCCACCTCCACCTCTATCAACAAATCTTCCTCCAACATCTAATCGTCCTCCTATAACTCCTTCATCTCCTCCTAACCCTCCTCCTCAGTCTGATGCTGCCAAAAAGGGGGAGAATAATCAAGGGGATCCTCATCCAATGCAAATATAGGTGATGATTGTACAAACTCCATCTCAGCCTAAGATGACTGGAAGAGTTGAAGTTGAAGTTAATCCTTAAAAGCAGATTGTTGTTGTTGATATTCCAAACATTGATGCTACAATTGATCAGCCCACTCCTGAAAATGATGACCAATCAGAAACCAATGACTATGAAGGCTTTCTTGATCTTGGTTTCATGTAACAAGCTGTTGTTCCTGATGTTCTGTTAAATGTTGTCTATCCTGGTTCTTGTTTTAAGGGGGAGATGTGTCAAGAGCTTCCTCAAGGTACTAATAATGATATTGATATTGACAATGATTACCTCAATCCTCGAAAGATGAAGGCTTATTTCTCAATGGGAGCTTATGATGCTAAAGCTAGAAGCTCTTCTACTGTTGCTGGTGATTTTTCGGCATCTCCTCTGAAAAAGAAAAGCAAAATCATATTTGATATTAATGAATTAGTGGAAAAATGGAGTTTACCCATTGAGGGAGTTAGAGAAATAAAGGTAGAATCTAATGTTGTTCATAAACAAAGAAGATTGTCTATCCACCAAACTTGCTCAAGCTCTTGCCTCTGCTAATGAGAATGCAGATATTCAAAGCGTTGATAATTAGGTCAAGAAAATCCACAATAATAATGTGGAGAAACAACACATTGTCTCAGACCTAGATGAATAGATTAATAGGAAGAAGTTTAGAGATGTTCTTACTCACAGGTCATAACCCGATCCTATAATCAAAGTGAGATGCACGAAACCAAGGAATGAGTCGCTAAAGCTTCACTTAGTTAGAAAGAAAAAAGAATATGAATACATTGAATTTGTTTATGCTTGTGAGCTGGTCAAATTTAGCTACAACGAGTGGATGCAAATTCAAGGAATTGTCAACAAACACAAGGGTGTTCATGCTCAAGAAGTGAATCTGGCAATACATCAACTACTCAACAAAGTCAAGATGCTGAATCTTGTGCCATCATTTGGTCCATCATCAGCTGGTCAATCAAAACCTCATCCTCAGGTAGAGATGGTGCTCATTGACAATCTAAAAATACCAAGTTTCTTTTTCCTTATAAAACTCGGTATATAAACAATGAGTTACTAGTGGGTGTTGAACCAGTTGAATATATGTTCATTCCAAAACCATAGCATGTGATATTATATCATGAGAGTCAGAATCATATGTGCTATCAATACACTGATGACCTTCCTTCTACTCCCACTGAACATTTGTTTCATTTTCTCTTGGAAAGATTAAGTTACTATAAACTGCAAAGCTGATATCATGTACTGATATCACTAGAGCTGAGTAGCAGACTGGATGAACTTAAGTTGGATCAATTCAGATGGATCAAGCCTAAAATCTTAAAAGAAGATGACAAGTTCTATAGTGGCTCTTCCGATGACTTGGATGAATAAGTTTAGTTTTGGAATCATAAAATAGGGGGAGATTGTCAGGTCACACCTTATGATCTAATGATCAAACACACGACACACTGATAGATCAACATCAACGTCTACTACATCTACAATGCCAACATATCAAGCTTATCAATGTCATCTTATTGTACAATTATATGATTGTAATCTTTTGTTTATTAGGAAATGATATAGAGACTTCGGTTGTGTTTGAAATTCGGGATGTTACATTTAGAGACTTCGGTTGTGTTTGACCCAACACAACCTGCCCCAGTCTCCCATGAGCCCAATTTGGAAAAGGCTAATCCTTCCATATCCGGACCGAATGTTAAAAAATATGCTAAACGGAAAAATTATTCCTCATAGCCAAAACCTAAAAATAAATCCAAAGTCAGTTCTTTCTTTCAACTGGAAGGAACGCATGAGATTCAGGTTGATTCAGGCCATCCGAACACCCCCCTGCCCACTCATCCGAGGTACCCCTCGATGATTCAAAATCACAAGCACACACTTACGGGGAGTCTCCACATAATCCACCCTTACCTTCACAAAAAGGTGATGTGGGTGTTAACCATAGTTCCTGTCACCCCCTGGAACACACCCACGAGTCACTCTTGATATCCATCTCGTTTCTTCCACACACACACACTCCAGAACCCATGTTCTTGACCCCAAGCATTCCAAAGCTGGAGCAATCCCTCCAACTCTGGATGCCACAACTGGTCTGATACCCAGAAGGTGTACAGGATGACCAAGTGCTAACGATCCCAAATGGGAAGATTATGTCAACAGGGCTGTTTCAAGACATTCAGATGTGACAAGAGATCAAGTGGAGGCCACGCTTACTTCAATGTACAACAGAGCTCTTCAAAGCAAACTTTTTGTATGTTCCTCCTACTGATGATGATGCTGATAAAGAGCTTGCTTCGGAACAACCACCAATTACAACTCACACCAACATACTCCAAACCGATCCGGATGAATAACTCTCTAAAGAATTATGCTGGCAGATGAAGGCAAATTGGTTTTAGATCCTAACTTCATGTCATCCATCCGCCTTCAATCTAAGCCATTAACCTCCAGGTCTGCTTTTGACTTCGGATCATCCTCTTCAACCGCTCCGGATGGTGGATCCAACTCCAAGCTACATGAAGATGATGCCACCACTAATCATGGTCCATCTATGAATCCTTCATTACATCAAGCAATGCCACAACACTCCATTTTTTACACCGGATACTCATTCGGTGATTATATGGATCTTTTTTCTCTCTTCAAAATTCAAACCAATGTGTCAGACACCATGAAGAAGGTTTCCTCAATCGAAACATCTGTAATAGAGGTCAACACAAAAATGGATTAAAAGGTTTTCGAACTTAATTCCATCAGTCAATCTCTCTCAAATCAGTCTGGACCTTCAGTTGTTGAACAAGAAGCCCAACTAGATCAATTGATCTTTGTCAGGCTCAAGCATTCCCTTGAAGAAGTTGAAGCTAAGTATGATGCTTCAGTTGAACACTATCTCGATAAAATCACCACTATGCTAAAGGTCTATGATGACTTGGTGTCTGCTACCAAAGATCTTATTAAGCAGACCCATGTGCATCATGAGAAACAGGTCCAACAATTGGAGAAAGAGATCCAGAAGAAGGAATAGATGAATCTTATCATTCAACAGGTCCTCATCAAGCTACTTCGATCCACTTGGAACAATGTCTATGTTCCAAATCGAAAGTTTGATGAGATGTTAGCTGTCCATGTCCACCTGTTCGATCATCTTGCTGCTCAAGCGCCTACTTCGGAAGCCTATGATGCTCTCACCAAACAAATCAACACTGGTCTTCAAAAAGTGTTTGAAAAATTCGATGGGTTGAAGGATTCACTGATGCTTACACCAGTTTGATGTTTCACCGAAGCAAGAGGGGGAGAAGGTCCTAGCCAAATATGGAAGCTTGCCATGGAATTCACACTCCGGGATGAAAATGATTCTGATGAATATGAACTGAAGATACTTACCATCTCCCCTTCTAAAAGCAATGATGAAGACAGTGATGAAGATATGTTTGTTACAAAGGGAGTTCTTGGTCTCGAGGCTCCGAAGAAGCTTCTTCCAAAGGTTATGATAGATGAAGAAAATAGAATTTGGTGCGTTGTTTCCTGGCCATCTTCTCTACCTGATACCCTTCGGATGGGTATCTAAGTGGCCAATGCAAAATCTCTACTTACTGCCCAAGCCTTCCGAGCCACTCCTTCAATGCTTCCTCTTATTCTAGCCCCAAAAATTACTCCATTAGACCAAGGTACCCCACTCCGGATCCCTGATGAAATTCCAAAAGAACCTCTTCCGAACCCCACTCCAGAATTCGTAATCGATGAGAACATGAAGCTCATCATATCTACATTGAAGAGAGATAAAGTCAAAATGCCTTTAATAGATGAATAACAAGCTCACTCCAGACCTCCTCCAAAGCAAAAACATGGATGGTCTCAGGAGGAAATCAACCAAGCACTAGAGGACAGCATCCAGATCCAAGCTCTCAAGGATAATCCTAATCCGATGCGTGGAATTTCTCCTCTTTGTCGTGAAGGCATTCTCCGTGATCATCAAATTATCTCATTCATGTATTACGATGTCCCTATAAATGACTCTGAATAGCTAGATCTTCCTCTCTCTCTCTCTCTCTCCTTACAGCAAATATTACATCAAATTTGTTCCTCTTCACCCATCTGACAATCCGGAAGTGACTCTTTGGACTGAGCGACAAGAGCTTGAAACATTATATTCCAAGAATGCACAATCTCTCAATGAAGTGTGGACAAGGAAGAGAATTACCAAAGTCGATTGTTTCGGAAGAAAAATTCTTGTGAACTTCGAACCTAACTGCCCATTATTTCGATTTCACATCCTTTGGAACAAACCAACACCCCAGACCATTTCTGATGCTGATTTCCATTCGATGAATCCAAATGATATTCTCACTTTGGCTACTTATTTCCGAGGAATTCAAAAATATGATATCAGTATGGGTGCTTATCACACTGCTCTGAGCTTCCTCAAAGACTATGTCCTGGAATTTCATAGATGCGATTATGAGCTTGTACACTTATGCGGAACTGAAGACTTCGTTGCGAAAATCAACTTCATTCTTCCGGAAGTTGAACTACTTGTAGATGGTCCAATCGAAGAACCAATTCTAGGGTTTGTATACATAACTAGAAAGACAAACAAGAAGGACTTTTTCCAAGTCCTTGATAAACACCTAGTTCCTACCAAAGCCCTGCAGAAGTTCATCTCTCGTGCCTCCAAATCTGAAGCTCCTGAATAGGTCAAAGCAAAGTTTATGAGTCATCTGATCTAGTATATTTAAGTCGGAGATTGGTTGTTCAGAGCCTACACCTTCATCAAAGAATATGTCGTATAAATTAGTTGGATTTCTAAGTTCACTTAGGGGGAGATTGTTGAAACATGAAAGTGAACCTCTAGTAATCCTAAGTTCCAATTCCAAAGTGCATGTGTTCCGAAACAAAGAATGGTCGAGAGTCACATGTAAAAAGTGGTTCGGAATCTTTCCGGACCGGAAGTGAAGAAGATGAGAAGCTTAAGTGAAGACATTCCAGAATGATCCTCATGTCCGGAATGGGTGCTAATCCGAAGTCACTATATTTTGTCTTTTTGTAATTTATGAAGTTTGTCTTTGTATTGATATGACTTTTCATAGGACTTAGTCTTTTTGTAATATTAGACAATTAGAATGTCAGTTACATCTCTATTGCCTGGTCCTATGTTAGTTTCTTAGTTCATTCAATGTAACCTTCACTTAATTTAGGCATTTTTACTAAGTGAATTTAGTTCTCTTAAAAATATTCTTATTGTTCTTCATTTAATATCTTTACATTGATCATTATCTTGTCTCTTCATTTATATCTTGAATACTTTGTTTGAAGTAGTTATTCAGACTTGACTGGTCTTGCCAGACTTGACTGGAACACTTATTAGTAAGCAGACATTGATCTTCAGCATTCATTCAAGGTTTGAATTTTCAAACCTTGTCCCTGCGCATCAGATCATCCTTGTTCTCACATATTCCAATTGTGACAACCCGAAGTTCGCCCCATCACCGTAACACGTTCCGTCTACAAAATTCTTCTTTTTCGAATCATTTCCGTCTACATTTTAAAATTTAGACATTTATTTCGAGACTTCTATTACGACTTAAATTGTATAAAAACCCATTAGAAACTCAAGAAAACACCCCAATATGATAATTAGATAAATTTTAGAATTTGTCCCGCAGGGTTACGACAACTTAATCGGGTGCGACCAAAAGCCCTGTTTAACATTGGTATCGGGTAGAATTCCACCGTGTCCCAAACCCGAACCATATATAAAGTGGTTTAAGCTTCATTTGAAGCCTTTTCACTCTCTCTCTAACCTCTCTCCTCAAATCCACACTTTAAGTCCAAAAATCATTGAATTCAAGCCCCAAATCTTCAAGGTAACCATCCTAGCTCCTAGTATAACATCTTTAGCCTTCAAATTTGTGGTTAATCTTTGAAATAGGACCATATTCATGAGTTTACGGCCCTAGAACAATCCTAGGCCGTGAACTCACATAAAGTGGGTTTTGAAGCCCAAAAACCCTTCCAAACCACATTGTCCAAGCCCAAAAACTCCATAAGGAGTTTACTCTCGAAGAGTAAACACATTGTCCAAGCCATATACGTCCTTAGATGTCACCCGGGTCACTCCAAACACTTGATATGAAGTGTTTTCACATCTTGGAGTGTATAATCGCATCTAATTAGTGATTTAAAGTCTAATTAGCTACAATTGTGTATCATTTCACATTACATAGGAACCTCGCGCGTTATCAATCCTGGAACCGACACTTAACATCCAATCTGACACGTTTCTTGACCGGTGAGTTCATACCCCTACCCTTTTTCAAATGTTTTTCAAATGTTTTCAGGGGGGATACAAGCAAAAGTGCAAGGAAATC